TCCCTGGGTGGACACTGGTGTATAAATATGAACGCCAGTCAGCATGCCGCCTCCGGCATTTTTAGATTCAGCAACCTGATGATCTGTTCAAAGTGGAAGGCAGGTCTGTTGTGTCTTATTTCTAGAGGTTTCCAGTTTCGTGCTGACTCTACGTGTTCGTGAACCAACTCTGTAATCATCTTTCTTTTTCTAAAGATTCACATGGCAGTGACCTGTTTTGGTTTTTTTCTAGAATTTTCTTTCGTCTCCATTTTGGTAGGAGAACACATTCGAGATGATTTTGCCTCTTTTACATTTGTTGGGGTTTGTTTTATAACCCAGGTCAATCTTGGCAAATGTTCCCTGGACACCCCCAAATGTGCCTTCTGTCGCGGGGTGGAGTGTTCTGTCAACCTGGAGCTATTGTTGGATGGTGCTCTTGTCTTCTGGGCTCAATGAGGTCAACAAAGGCTACCAGCTGATAAGCTGGGGGACATTCTCCCTTCCCCATTGTACCTGAACTCATTTGGGGTTTTGGAGCAGTGTCTTCACACTTCCCCAGCCTCAAGGGCTGGTCCCTGCAGGACGTTTTCCACTGGGCAACCAGACTGAGCCTTTAGGTTAGCTAAACCTCACAGTCCGATAGGAAGGCACTTGGTGATGTGTCCTGCCACCTCTCCAGCCTCCTGAGAGTGTTCTGCCATTCTTTCTTGTGTTCCAAGAGTCAGACAATCTTGTCCCAAACTGTCTTCCCTTCTTTGCTCTGGGCTTTCGCCCCTGCTCTTCCCTATGCAGGGGACAACACTCAGGCCCCTGCCCTCCCGGCCCTTCGCTTCCTCCCCACTCACGCCCTCTCCCCCCAGAAGCCTGCCTTGAGCCTCCCAGTCTGAGTGGCCTCACACTGGCCTTGCTCGGTGCTCGGCACACTGTCCCCAAGGTTGGGGCTGTGGCTTGTTGTGAGGTTCCCACGAGGAACCCTTTGGCACCCTGGGAGGTGGGCAGTGCTGGCCATTGCGTAATGCTGAAGAAACAGGCTCCAAACTAGAAGCCGGATTTGCTTCCCTTCCCCCCACCCCACTGCACCAGGGACACGGGTGGGCTACGACACTGGGTGGCCCTGCACCTCCTTTGAGGACAGCTCTCGCTTCAACTTGTCCCTGAGAGAACCAGAACTTCGGGTTCACTTGAGCACTCATGTCGTGTACTGCTTGGACATCTTGAACTGGCCCAAGAACCGTTTTAGAATTACTTGGGTACACTGGACCTTTAAAAATCACACTTTACTTTTACGTGGACATACAAGGGACAGTAGAAGCAAGGCAGAGAGGAAGTCTGCCTGGCCCTTCCTCACTGCCACAGTGATGATGTCCATCCTTTCCACAGTGGATCCTCTGGGTCACCACGAGCCTTGACCACGCAGCACTTCTTAGGCTTTTCCTGCAAGGCCTTGGAACCTGGATGGCGGTGAGCATGGGCACTGTTGATGCTTACAAGAGGTCAGGTGACCAGATGTCCCATTCTCCCAGCTGACCAGAAGGACAGTGACTCAAGACTGGGCACCACTGAAATGCAGAAAAGGGGGAATCTTACAGATTGAGAAACATGCTCCTAGTGACCCTTCCTGTTCAGGGGTTTCCAACCATTCTCACGCACGCTTGCTGTCCGCGGAGTGCCAGTCCTTCTCTAGGTGGTCCACTGTGCCCCACTGGGGGGTCAGGGCCCGTTACACTGCTCCTGACAAGGCTGGGCAACGGGATTTAATGTCTAGGAAGGCAAGGACCCCGTCCTCATTCATTTTCAGGGGTTATGACCTATTTAATTTTTCTGTACAAATTTTAGAATGTTTATCATACTCCTGCACAAAAATCCAAGTAGGATTTCAGGTAGAATTGCATTAAACTTAGAAATGTATTTGTGTTAATTGATATGATATTTTAGCTAAATATAATTATTATATTTATGTGCTACCTAAATAACATGATTCCATTAATCACATAATATTTGAGTTTTATGTTATAAATTAATATAAATGGATTATATTGCAGAATACATTTATTTATATTGTATTCTTTTTGTATATTAATTAGTGTAGATTAATAGGATTTACTTAATTATGTTAATTTGGTAAAACTGACATCTTTATTGTACGTTATCCTGTGCAAGAAATGGGATCTCTCCCTTAGTTCAGACCTTCTGGTACTGTTTTAAAAGTCCTGTTTAGTGAGCTCTAATTTCCACTGTGATTTCTAGGTGCCCATTTCTCTGAGTCTGATGGCTGAGTGCGGCTGTGCACCCACCACCATGGCCCAGCTCTGGCGAGCGTCTGTGCTCTCTCTTCACGGGGGAGAGCCAGTACCTGAGCTTGGAACGCGGCGTTCCAGCCTCAGCCCCTCAGAGGAGAGCTGGGGAGCTGGGGAGCCCTCCAGAGAGGCTGGGGGTGAACGTCCTGGGCTATTAGCCTTCCATTTCAAAAAGTCTGCTGCAGCCCATCACAAAACGTACTGTTCCTTTACGGGGCACCAAGAAAGAAAAAGATACCGAGAGTTGAAAATGACGACGTGCCATTTGCTGTGAGACTCGCTCATCCGGGGGCTGCTGAGATGTGAGGACTTGCGGACCTGAGGTTCCACATGAGCGGTATCTTCCTACGTGTTTGGGATTACCTTCTGCCTGGAGGTGCCAGGCCGGGTCGGGAGGCGACAGGGTGGGGGAAAATATTCTGGGGACGGCACAGCCCATGCAAGACCTGGGGACCAGAAGGACGCATATTAAATCACCGGTGGGTACTGCAGAATGGGCCCCCACAGGGCTGTGCCCCTTATACCCCGTGAAGACACGGAGGTGGCGATGCCTCTCGGGGGCTGCGTCTGCTTCCTGGTGCTGAGGAACGGACTCTGCACGCACAACAGAAATGTGCTGTGGACACCGGAGTCTGGAGTCGCCAGGTGTGCAGGGCCACACCCTTCCAGAGCTCCTGGGGGACAGTCGAGCCTGTGTTTTCTAGGCTCTGGTACCCTAGGCACTTGTCCTGTGGCCACCTGGCTCCAGTCTCTGCTGCTGTCTTCCCCTGGCTTTGATGGGTCTGAGTCTCTGGCTTCTTTTACACAGACCCTGTCGTGAGATCGGGGTCCACCTGGATAATCCAGGACCATCTCCTCCTGAGATCCTTAATTGAGTTACACTGCAAAGACCCTCTTTCCAAATTAGGTTCCAGGTGGGTGCATCTTTTGGGGGCGACTTGTCCTGTGAGCTGGCCCAGGCCTCAGCTCACCAGCATCCAGTGAGGGGCTGCCTGCAGGGACCCAGGAGCTGAGTGAACATATGAGGGACCGTCCATCCATGTAGGGGCCTGCATCCCACCAGCACAAGAGGGAGAGGCGAGGCCTGGGGTGGACGGAGGGGAGAGCTGCAGGCAGGAGGGAGGGGCAGAGGACAGAGGACACAGAGGGGTGATCCTCCCTCCTTGGGCACCAAGGGGAGACTGCAGACCTTCAGAGGCCAGCCAGGAGGACCGCCAGCTGGGCCCCGAGAGGCAAGATTCGGAATCAAGATGTTTCAAAATAAGACTTCAGTCCTGAGTGGATGCCAAGGGCTGGACCTTCTCACCATGGGTGATTGCTGGGACCCCAGGAACCCCTCTCTCCCCGGGGGTCCTGCCCACCTCCCTCCCACTAACAGCTAGATGCTAGCTGGTCACTCTTCCTCCTCAAACAGTTATCCCGCCTCAGTCCTTCAGTCAGTACAGATGAAATGCAGTCCCTGCTGCAGCACTCCTTGTCCTGGGGAAGAGGAACGAGCGTAAACAACAAGCAACATGCAGCTCGGACCCGGGTGGTGGCCAGGCCGGCAATCCCAGCTGTTCAGTAGGCCCAGGCAGGAGGATGGCAAGTTGGAGGCCAGCCTGGGCAACTCAGCAAGACCCTGTCTCAAAAGGAAAAGATTATAAAATGGGATGCGGGTGTAGCTAAGTGGAGAACCCCTGAGTTCAATTTTCAGTCCCCCCAAATGCAACTTGTGGCTGAGGTTGCAGTTCGGTGGCCCAGCATGTGCAAGGTCCAGAGTTCCATCTCCATCAACATGCGTGCGCGCGCGCGCGCACACACACACACACACACACACACACACACACAGAGAGCGTGGTAATGCTGGGCTGCAAGCTGCCGAGTGGCGCAAGCTGGTGCCTTCTGCCCACTGGCAGGCCCCCACTTTCCAGGCCAAGGCAAGGCACCTTCCCAGCTGCACAGCTCTCAAGAGAAGGGTGGGCTTCCACACCACGTCCATCCGACCCCAAAGTCTTGCTCCTGGGCAGGGAGTACCTCCCACTGGGTGATCCCCTGAAAAAGATGGGATCCTCCAGGTGGGGAGCTCCAGAGGAGATTGCCTTAGAAGCATCGTGTAAGTGATGAACCTTCACAACTACCCTCTATGTCAAATTTGCTCAGAAATGCAGGTTTCATATCAGGGGCCCTGAATTAGCTCCTCGGGGTGCTGAGACACATTACCACAAACTGGGCGCTAGAAACAACAGAAATTCATTCTCTCAAAGTTCTGCAGACTTGAAGTCTGCCGTCAAGATGGCAGGGCACGCCTCCTACGAGGCTCGAGGGGAGATGAGATTGTATGCATTGCATTTAGGGCCCCCTCAGATCCAGCACGACCCCATCTTAACCACTTAACATCTGCAAAGAACCTATTTCCAAGCAAGGTCGCCTTCTGTGCTTGCAGGTGAGCATGGATTTGGGCAGGGGGGCACTGTTCCACATAGTTCAGTTCCTAACCAGAACTGGAGGAGCTTCTCAGAATTGAGGTCTAAACTGAGACCTGCAGGTGGGAAGAGAGTGTTCTCTGCACAGACCCTGCAGAGACTTGGAGAACATAAAGATATTTTCATTTGGCTAGAACATTCTAGAAATTAGGGGAGGGATTGTATAGCAGGCAGAGTGCAGTTGGGGACTGGATCAGGAAAGGGCTTCTGAGCCATGTTCTGGAGAAGGACCTTTCCCCTGAGCCACGGAAGGAACCTAAACCAGGGCTTAAGTGGATCAGCCTCCTGTCTCCCCAGGGCCTGGGCACCCCTGGGGCACGGACAGACAAGCAGAGTCTCTTCTGCCCGAGGATGCTGAATCCTCCCCCTCCTCTCACGCTCCCTGTCCTCCATCGCCCCCAGCCTCTGGGTCCTCAGCTGCCACAAGAGCCAACAATCCATACTCCTTATCAGAGGGCCAGCAAGAATCGAGGCTAGAGCCCAGCACCTGGGAGGGCTGTGACACCCGCCCTGCCCCACGGAGAGTGCCAGTCCCATCTGTACTCAGGTGAGGGAGGGAAGCCGTGGGTGGAGCCGCAGGTGAGGACGCCCACTGGGCTCTGCCCGTTTCTCTGAGTCAGTAGTGCGTGGGGGAGCCACTTGGGAAATGTCAGGCCTGGGACTCTCTTCCCCCCGTGGGCGGGCAGCACATCCCCACCTCTGTGCCCCCCTCTGGCTTCCGGAGGGACAGGGCTGTGTGCAGAGCTTGGCCTGGGAACCCCTTTTCCTGTGGGTGGCTCAAGCTCCCTCAGACCTGAGTTTCCTCCTGCTGAGGGTGGGTCTCCATCTTGAGAGGCTCACATCCTGCCTGGGGGATGACCAGACTCCCCAGGGCCAGCCTGGCAGGGCAGCCCTCCTCTGTGGTCCCCAGTGACCACCGTCAGCCACTCAGCCCCACAGCCCGCAGTGACAGACCCCAGAGCCCTGGCTGCTGCCTTGCTGCTCAGCGGAGTGGTTGCCATGGCGACAAGCCTCCCATCCTGTGCCCACGCTGCCTGTGCCCGGCTCCAGGCAGCCTTGGGTGGGAAAGAAGCCGTGGGGTCCCCAACGGAGGGAGGACACAGCAG